TGTGGCTCCGCATCAGTATTTATTTGCGGTGTAATTTGTGTCCGTACTGTCCCTGAACACACCACCAGAGTCACGTCACTTCACTCACGTGTGTTTGTTTACACCCGCAGCCGTGCGCAACACTGAGATTATTTTCTTTTTATGGACAATCGGTTTGAGTCTGGATTAAAAGGACATTTATTAGTGCAGACTTGTGATGTGAGGAGGAGCCTGTGTGAGCGGTGAGTGTTGGAAATATATCGACTTTGAAGGGGTTATCTGTTAGCGATTAGCTGCTGTAGCTCCTCGCACATAAACAGGCTGTTTTCTATTGGTCTATTGTAAAGTGATTATATTGTCCGTATATTTGTTACTGGACCAACATTGATGTAAATGAGCTGTGAATAGACGTGTGAATGATCCACATTTATGCATATAATTAATTACCGCGGTGCGCACGTTTTTACGGCTAAAGGCTAATAGCGGTAGTTTCTTTTCTAGCTAGAAGTTATGGGTCGGTCGCGATCGAAGCGGCTCTTAGATCCGGCTCTTTGAAGGGAACGACGGGAGCATGTTTCTTATTGGGAGCCGTGTTTTCTCTTTTTCTCACTTTTTCTCTTCAAGTTGCTTGTCGACCCGTAGTTTGACAGCAGCAGCGGCTGAAAACGAAACGTTCAGAAATCTGCGTGTGCATAGGATAAAAAAAAAAGTGCATATTTGGCTGCAGTTCAGCATAAAATGAATAAACCAGGACTAATCTTGGGCTCGAGTGAGGGAGAGAGATAGAGACTGAGTCCCGACTCACTCAGTTTCACACATGGTTTAAATCTGTTTTAGTCCTGGTTTAGTCCTTTTTCAGTTCAGTTCTGGTTTAGTCCTGCTTGCAACAAAACAATCTCAAGAGTCGCTTGGGAGCCGAAAGAGCCAGCTGCTTTAGTGAGTCGAGCCAAAAGAGCCGGTTCTCCCCCCAAAAAAACTGGAGTACCCATCACTAGTGTCTAGAATGTGATACAAAAATGCCATTAGGCCGAACTTCTGTCTGTAAATATGACGTAAAGATCCAGAATAACAATAAATGTTGCCTAAATAAACCCTATTTAGAATCCACTAGAGCCAAACCTAAGTTTTTTAAACAATTCAAGATTTACAGTGAATTTTTACATCACTAAATATATCGGCGATTATATCGGCAGCCCCAACTCCCATTATATCAGTTTCATATCGGCCACAACAAAATCCATATCGGTCGGGCTCTAATTTGTAGTATTTGTAGTATTTGTACTGACGTGTGCAGTAGACGTGGTATCTGTCCCAGGCGATGGCGGCCATGAAGCTGATGGAGGCGAGTACAGAGATCATCCCCTGGAACCCGTGCATACACACACACACACACACTGCACACACAGACACACACACACACACACAGTCACACACACACAGTACACACACACACACACAGCACACACACACACACACAGTACACACACACACACACACACACACACACAGACACACACACACACACAGTACACACACACACAGTACACACACACACACAGACACACACACATACACACACACACACACAGTACACACACACACACACACACACACACACACACACACACACACACACATACACACACACACACACACACACACAGCACACACACAGACACACACACACACACACAGATACAGACACACACACACACACACACAGATGCACACACACAGACATAAGTCAGTTAATCTACTGACTGACCTGTACAGTGTGTGAGACACAAACTCAGTACACAGCGCCTTTAAAGACACACACTGTACTTTACATTTCTTCACTCATTTACTCCACACTGAGCAGTGGTGAGCTGCTCGTGATGCTACAGCTGCCCTGGGACAGACTGACAGAAGTGAGGCTGCCAATCTGCCCCACTGGTCTCTACAACCACCGCCTATACTCACTCACACTTGGCTAAGGACACAACAACATCCCAGATTCCCAGGACTAACCAGGACCAACCCTAGTAACCGTCTAAAATCAAACACTGACCACATATAAACTGTTCCAAACAAACTGCAGAGTTTACTGCTGAGCAAAGCAGTATTTTAAACAAGAAACAAAGCATACATGCCTCAAGTGGAGGAGTATCTCGGGGGGTGAGGGGAGGATGGAGCGTGAGATTGACAGGAGGATCAGTGCAGCGTCTGCAGTGATGCGGTCGCTGTATTAGAGTCGAAAGGCAAAGCTCTTGATTTACCGTCAGTCTGCGTTCCTCCCCTCACCCAGAGTCATGAGCTTTGGGTAATGACCGACAGGACAAGATCACAGATAAAAAGCGGCCCTAATGAGTTTCCTCCGCAGGGTGTCTGGGTGCTCCCTTAGAGATAGAGTGAGGAGCTCAGTCACATGGGACGAGCTCAGAGTAGAGCTGCTGCTCCTCCACACTGAGAGGAGCAGCTGAGGCTCGGGCATCTGTTCTGATGCCTCCTGGACGCCTTCTTTGGGAGGTGTTCCAAGCTTGTCCCACCAGTAGGAGGCCCTGGGGAAGACCCAGGACACACTGAAGGGACTATGTCTCTGGGCTGGACTGGAATGGCTCGGGTTCCCCCTGGAGGAGCTGGATGAAGTGTGCACAGAAAGAGAAGAGTGGGAGTCCCTGCACACACTGCTATCCCCTCAACCCGGCCCCGGATAAAGCGGAAGAAAATGGATGGACAAAGCAAACATATACAAATATAGACCAAATGAAAAACATTTGGAAATGCCATATTTATATTTACATAAATCCAACTCCAGTTTGGTCCTGCAAAATATTATCAATTCCAAGCACAATGGATGTCACACTGTTCACACCAGTAATGTAACTCTGTCTCCTTAGAGCTGCTGGATGGTGAATGAAAACATCTCAGTGGAAAATAAAGGATCACATCAAAAGCTCCCACCTAGAAAGTAAATATTTTCTCTTCCAAGTCCCTCCAGATCTAAACCAAGTCTTTAACCAGACCAGTATGAGGTTAAACCAATAAATAAATAACTAATTTCTAAACTGTGACTGACCCAAGCGATGAAAACATAAATTAAATACAAACTAAATGAACAGCTTGAACTCTTAAGACTTTTATTGTAATGACAGTATTGTACTTGGTGAGACCAGAGGTGTTTTCTGACCTGAGGTAGGAGGCGTAGGCTGCGGTCAGTCCGTTGATGTTCAGACTGAGATCGGCCAAAGCCAAATTAAACACAAAGAAGTTACTGGGAGTCCTCATCTGCTTCACCGAGATAAAGGACAGGACGGAGATGGTGTTCAGGAAGAAACCGAGCACCCCTGTGGAATAAAGGAAGAATATTAACGGAACATACAGAGGGAGAGATAAAGGATTACATTCATCCCACGCTCCATACGACGGAACACCGAGGTTATGTAACAGATAACCCTATGTCAATCATTATTTCATCTCTGCACTGTTTCTCCTCATGATCTCCTGTACAGAGCTGACGTACTGTATATCTGTACTTATTTTGACTTGTACATACACATTTATATAATCACTACTATTGTGTTCAAATAATTTCCCTTGTGGATCAATAAACTACAGGGGAATCACACTAGGTCTATTCCAGGGACCGGAGAGGAGAATCCGGCCGACAGTCGAACCTCGGATCCAGGAGGAGCAGTGTGGTTTTCGTCAGACTTGTTCCCGGTGCATGTTGGACTCCGCCAGGGCCGCCCCTGTCACCGGTTCTGTTCATTGTTTTTATGGACAGAATTTGTAGGCGCAGTCAGGGGCCAGAGGGGGTCCGGTTTGGGGACCACAGGATCTCATCTCTGCTGTTGGTCCTGTTGGCTTCATCAGACCAGGACCTGCAGCACTGGGGCGGTTTGCAGCCGAGTGTGAAGCGGCTGGGATGAAGATCAGCTCCTCTAAGTCCAAGACCATGGATCTTGACTGGAAAAAGGCGTCTTGTCGTCTCCAGGTGGGTGGAGAGTCCCTGCCTCAAGTGGAGGAGTTCAAGTATCTCGGGGTCTTGTTCACGAGTGAGGGGAGGACGGAGCGTGAGATTGACAGGTGGATCGGTGCAGCGTCGGCAGTGATGCGGTCGCTGTATCGGACCGTTGTGGTGAAGAGGAGCTGAGCTGAAAGGCAAAGCTCTCGATTTACCGGTCAGTCTTCGTTCCTACTCTCACCTATGGTCATGAGCTCTGGGGTAATGACCGAAAGGACAAGATCATGGATACAAGCGATTGTAAATGAGTTTCCTCCGCAGGGTGTCTGGGCGCTCCCTTAGAGATAGGGTGAGGAGCTCAGTCACATGGGTGGAACTTGGAGTGGAACTCGGAGTAGAGCCGCTGCTCCTTCACATTGAGAGGAGCAGCTGAGAATCGGGAATCTGTTCCGGATGCCTCCTGGGTGCCTTCCTCGGGAGAAGTTCTGGGCATGTCCCACCGGGACTGGGGAAGACCCAGGACACACTCGAGGGACTATGTCTCTGGACTGGCCTGGGAACACCTCAAGTCCCTCCAGAAGAGCTGGAGGAAGTGTCTGGGGTGAAGGAAGTCTGGGAATCCCTGCTTAGACTGCTGTCCCTGCAACCCAGCCCTGCATAAGTGGAAGTAAATGGATCAGTAAAGTCTGTCTAAGTCTAAGGGAAAAGAAAGGAGAGGGTCACAGGTTCAGAGGTCCAGAGGTCCAGAGGTCCAGAGGTTCAGAGGTCCAGAGGTTCAGAGGTCCAGAGGTCCAGAGGTTCAGAGGTTCAGAGGTCCAGAGGTTCAGAGGTCCAGAGGTCCAGAGGTCCAGAGGTCCAGAGGTCCAGAGGTTCAGAGGTCAGAGGTCCAGAGGTCCAGAGGTTCAGAGGTCAGAGGTTCAGAGGTCAGAGGTTCAGAGGTTCAGAGGTCCAGAGGTTTCAGAGGTCCAGAGGTTCAGAGGTCCAGAGGGTCAGAGGTCCAGAGGTTCAGAGGTTCAGAGGTCCAGAGGTTCAGAGGTTCAGAGGGTCAGAGGTTCAGAGGTCCAGAGGTTCAGAGGGTCAGAGGTCCAGAGGTTCAGAGGGTCAGAGGTCCAGAGGTTCAGAGGTCCAGAGGTCCAGAGGGTCAGAGGTCAGAGGTCAGAGGTCCAGAGGTCAGAGGTTCAGAGGTTCCAGAGGTCAGAGAGGTCCAGAGGTCCAGAGGTTCAGAGGTCCAGAGGTTCAGAGGTTCAGAGGTCCAGAGGTTCAGAGGTTCCAGAGGTCCAGAGGTCCAGAGGTCAGAGGTTCAGAGGTCAGAGGTCAGAGGTCCAGAGGTCCAGAGGTTCAGAGGTCCAGAGGTCAGAGGTTCAGAGGTTCAGAGGTCCAGAGGTTCAGAGGTTCAGAGGTTCAGAGGTCCAGAGGTTTCAGAGGTCAGAGGTCAGAGGTTTCAGAGGTCCAGAGGTTCAGAGGTCAGAGGTTCCAGAGGTTTCAGAGGTTCAGAGGTCCAGAGGTCCAGAGGTCCAGAGGTTCAGAGGTTCAGAGGTTCAGAGGTTCAGAGGTCCAGAGGATGACTTGTATTGATGTGAGTTGTTGTTGCCACATCTGAGTGGAGCAGTGATCAGGTTTGTTGTAAGTCTCTGTGTGAATGCTCCTTTGTGCTGTTGCTTCACTAATCGGCCTAATCCAGAGGCCAGAACCACAACACAAGAGCATTACTCTGGTAACAGGAGTAGAAATAGTAACAATATGCAAATAATATAATGGACTTTTAAAATGCTTTTGATGATTATTTATTCACTTCACACTCGGTGGTGAAAAACTACTGTTGCCCTGGGAGAGACTGACTGAAGTGAGGAATCCTTTGGCCCCTCTGACCACAAACCTTCACACTCTACAAGGTGAGCGAAGTGTCTTGCTTAAGGACACACCACTGTCCCACTGTGGCATCCCAAGTACTAAACAAATCTGTCAGTCAGTCAAGATAAACACATATAATTAATTTGTTTCTGGGTTTACTGTGTTACTGCCAGTAAACTTAATGCCCTGCATGAACAAAACATCAAATTCAACACAATTTATAAAACTTCCTGTAAGAAAACTACAAATATTTTACTGATTATTTAAATTTATCCAATCACAACATCTGCAGATTAACTCTATTACAACTGTGTGCCTCCAGCTTTCAATTAAACCTACACTCTTATTTTATAATGTTACAGTTGCATTATAGACATTTTTACCCATTTTACAGTTTACAAAAAATAAATAAATAAATAAAAATATTGTTGTATTTCTGAATGTAAAAGTTTTTTTTTTCATTACAGTATTTTATGGTCCATGTTATAATTTCCTTATCAAAAATACCCCTGATGTTTTCTTTTGTTTCATTCACACAAAGAGTTTCTGCTTATTTAGTTTTTCTCTAAAGCATAAAACACTCTGTTCCACCTTGTGATGTCATGTGGTAATACAGGACGTGCTCCACTGTGTTTTTAAACTTCACAAATCTTTAACAAATGTTGTTTTTAAAAGATAAATTAGAGAATAACACACCTGAAGAATGACCTGAAACTTTTTTTTTTTTTTTTTTTAGCTCACTGAACCTAACTGAAAGAAATTGAAAGAAAACAGGTCGAGTTTCTTGTGTCTTTTTTGAATAATTTTGATTTATTCCTTTGATCGGGAGCTTTGGAACTGTCCCCTTTGTACATAAATGTGTTTTTTGTTCACACTTTAACACTTTTTTTCCCCTGATTTGTTGTGTTTTGAGGTGATCTTGAGTGGTGCCTGTTTGTTTGCATCTTGGGTTCTGAAGTATTAATTCATCCATCTATTTTCTTCCACTTCTCCGGGGGCAGCAGTCTAAACGGAGACTCCCAGACTTCCCTCACCCCAGACACTTCCTCCAGCTCCTCCGGGGGGACCTTGAGGTGCTCCCAGGCCAGCCCAGAGACACAGTCCCTCCAGCGTGTCCTGGGTCTTCCTCGGCGCCTCCTCCCGGTGGGACAAGCCCGGTATTAATAAAAAATGTAGTAATAGTATAAAGTAAAAGTATTCTTCATGACATCACAAGGTAGAACAGAGCATTTTAGAGAGAGATTAATAATAAAGAGTTACTCAAACATGTGTGAATGAAACAAAACACAACTCCAGGTTTGTTTTTGAGGAGGAAACCACATTTTAACTTGACTAAAAGCTCACGAGAGTCACTTTTGCGTAACACGGGACCTTCTTGCTGATATAACTTGGTGATTTTAACGCTACTGTCTCTTTAAGAACAAAACAAAACACTGAGTTCGTGTGAGGACTCTGCACTCTGCACTCACCTCCGACGAGCAGCGCGGTGCCGAACAGAAACATGTCAAACTCCGCGAATCCCTCCGGTAACGCGTAGGCTGCCATCGCGAATCCTTAGTCCCCCAAAAAAACCCGCTCCACACACGGCGCAAACACGACTCCTGTTAGCGCAGAGTCCGCACGGGAGACGCGTTATAAAGGCTCTTTCACGTGAAACCGCTAATCTGCGCTGAAACCCTGTCGCAATCCGCGCAGGAATGTCTTAACAAGCGCAAAAAACCGACGCGACCCCGACCCAGTGCGTCTGCGCGCGTCCCGGTAAACGAGCCGGCGTAAAAAAAAAAAATAAAAAAATGAAGTTTTCAAAGAGACGAGAAAAACTCTCAAAGGATTCTGGGAAATGGTGTTTTTGTGTAATCAGAGAGGACAATGATCAATCCTAGACCAGAGCTGTGCAGTTTAGTGGTTCACAGTTGGTCAGATGGTTTAAAGCTGCACTGTGCAACTTTTCTGGAGATATTGTTTTGCTTAGAGAGTTGCCTGAAATATATGCCTTCTTACTAGGGGTGTGCAAAATATTGAAATATCGATAAATCTGATCAATTAGGCTACGTTCAGACTGCAGGGCTTAATGCTCAATTCCGATTTTTTTGTGAAATCCGATGTTTTTGCGAGGTCGTTCACATTTCCAATTAAATGCGACTTGTCTGTGACTTCAGTGTGAACGGTAAACGGCCCGAAAGTGTCCCACATGTGACACTGGAGACACGATGATGTCAACCCCATGCGTCAACCGCAGCGAGCGTCTCTGTGTTTACGGAAGTTGTCCAAACATGGTCGCGAGCATTGAGCACCTGGAGATTTTACAGTTCCGGTTTCCGCCTGCTTCAGCGCAGAATAGTGACGTTTGTCGCTTGTTAATGACGTGTAGGTCGGATGGATGTGCTTTGGCCGTTCAGACTGAAGTCGCATGTCAAAAGATCAGATATGTATCGGATTCAGGAGCACATATCCAAGTGTCCTGGGTCACATTTGAAAAATTCGGATTTGTGTCGTTCAGACTGACATTAAAAGATCGGATACAGGAACATAGAAGCCAAAAAATCGGATTTGGGTCACTTCAGGCTGCAGTCTGAACGCAGCCTTAATGTGGTGATACATTATCGCTATCTTGGGCTGCTGTATCGATATATCACAGTCGAGTATTTTTTGGTGTATTTTATGAAATTATTTTGTTACAGCTACAGTTCTGACATTTTTCACAGTTTTGATGATTAAAATGTTTGTGTTTCATATGAACTTTGCACAAGAAGTGGTTTAACAAAGACTTTTAGTGTCACAGCCGTAATTTAGCCTTTATTTAAATTGAACCGTATCGAATCGATTTGAAATATATCGTATCGAACCAAAAGTGCACTGTAGGGAGGTATGTACGGAAGCCGAGGGGTCACAACAAACGCAAACGCCGCAACAAATACAAATGCGACAACACAACAAAAAAAAGCCACAACAAACCAAAAAAAGCCACAATGGAAAGGACCTCAAAAAAACTTTTCAAAAAGTAAAACGCAGCACTAACAGTTCCAGCATGAAGTTTTGCTCAATCTTCATATTTTTGACAAGAAAAAACAACTTGTCCACACTGTCTGCAGTAAATGCTGCAGTTACGATGACCCAACGACTGAAAATACACTTTCGCCAGGGACAGACGTCGTGGGCATGGGACGCCCTAACTATAAAGCGCTGCGGGAAACACTGCCCCAATCACAGACAAATTCCTCGTGACTATACATGCATCACGAATTTCGGACTTCGAGTCACTGTGCAATTTATACTGGGAAGGATTTTCCGAAAAAGTGAGCACCATAACGCCATGTTTGTTTTCCCAGTGGGATGAGTCTAATGTCAAAGTCGATCTTTTCAAGTCTTTTGAACCATATCACTTTTGTTTCTGGTTCTGATATTGTCATATTTTAGTTTTGGGATTCGGACATTGTAATTATGTGGTTGTTGGATGTTCTAACAGCGGAAAACGGCTCGAGAAATGGGCTTTGGAAGATTGTGAACTCCATAACTGCAGAAGGGAATCAGGTCTGTGTGAATCTAATTCCCAACGGAATTGAAAAATAGTGAAAGGTGAAGGCGATGGGCAGGATTGAGCCACAGGAAGAAACAAAAAGGTCATCTTTCACTGCCTAATAAATCATCCCGGGTTTACAGTGAACCATTTTGTATGTGGAGCGACAACAAAGCAGGATCCCGTTTGTTAATGGAGAGGAGCAGAAGACAAACAGACTGAGCTGCACTTTCTTGTTCTTGTGGTTTTACAGCAACATCACGTCTTGGTCTCTTTGCAGTGGAAACAGTTTGAATGGAGGTTTCACATAGATTCACACAGATCTGATTCCCTTCACAACTAAAATATGACAATATCAGAACCAGAACCAAAAGCGATATGGTTCAAAAGACTTGAAAAGATCGACTTTGTCAATAAACGCATCACACTGGGAAAACAAACATGTCGGTTTGATGCTCACTTTTTCAGAAAATCCTTCCCAGTATGAATTGCACGATGACCGGAAGTACGAAATTTGTGATGCTTGTATTAAAGAGCCGAGCCTTCACTGTAGCTGCGCATGTAGTGGTTGAATTTACACACACACAAATTGCGTGAATTCACTCATACACAGCCCTGCACCGAACCAGCACGAATACATGAACCATTACACTCCTACTTATTAACGACCAAAAAACTTCTGAAATTATATAAGAGGCTATAAGAGTTTTAACAGAGGGGGTTAAAACAGTCAGCTGGACTAAAATGAATCATGAATAGTCTCAGCTGGTCTAATAACACCAGTTGCATTGTGAAAAAGGGACACCAACGCCTATACTTTCTTAGGCGCCTAAAAAAAGCAGGTGTGGGCCCCTCTGTCCTGAAGGCCTTTTACAGGTGTGCGGTGGAGAACATCCTCACCACCAACATGACTGTGTGGTTCAGCAGCAGCACCAAGGCAGAGAGGAAAACTCTGCAGAGGATAGTTAGGATAGTTAGAGCTGCAGAGGATAGTTAGAGCTGCAGAGGATAGTTAGAGCTGCAGAGGATAGTTAGAGCTGCTAGTTAGAGGATAGTTAGAGCTGCGGAGGATAGTTAGAGCTGCGGAGGATAGTTAGAGCTGCAGAGCTGCAGAGGATAGTTAGAGCTAGTTAGAGCTGCAGAGGATAGTTAGAGCTGCAGAGGATAGTTAGAGCTGCAGAGGATAGTTAGAGCTGCGGAGCGCGTCTGCGGCTGTAGTCTGCCCTGCATTGAAGATATTTACATCAGCAGGTGCAGGACAAAAGCCCACAGCATCATGGAGACTCCACCCGTCCAGCACATGAACTTTTTACAGTTCTCCCATCAGGCAGAAGATTGCGCCACCTACAGGCCAGGACCACGAGACTACGGAACAGTTTTTATCCTGATGCCGTGAGACAGATTAATTCTGTCAGAAAAAACACTACAAAACAGCACTGACTTGGAACACACTTTAGAAAATGGGGGCGGGTTGATATACAATATTTTTAACTATTTTATTCTTGTTATAACTATTTGTTCTTATTGTTATCTGTGCTGCTGTTGACCTGGACCTGAGTGCATTGTTTCGTTTCTGTGTATTTTTTATACTGGAATGACAAATAAATTTGATTCTGATTCTGAAATCTAAGAGTTGAACACCTCTTCCCTCATTTCATGGTAAATTGGTAAATGGTCACATTTTTCTATAGCGCTTTTCCACCTTCAAAACCGCTTTACAACAAGGAACCACTCACCCATTCACACACACATTCACACACCAGTGTACGCAGACACTGTGGGCAAGGTGGGTTAAGTGTCTTGCCCAAGGACACAACGGCAGCATTCATCTGTGGGAGCTGGAATCACACCAGCTCAACTGTGGGTCAGTGGATCTGACGCTCAACCTGTGATGTTTATGTCGAGAGCTGGAATCAAACCACCAACCTTTAGATCAGTGGGTGAATGCTCCACCAACTGAGCTACTGCCGCTCATACCAACATTTTTCATAATTTGAAGGAACATTTTTACCTCCGCCAAGGAGGTTATGTTTTTGCCGGCGTTTGTTTGTTTGTTTGTTTGTCTGTTTGTTTGTTTGTTTGTCTGTTTGTTTGTTTGTTTGTCTGTTAGCAACATAACTCAAAAAGTTATGGACCGATTTTGATGAAATTTTCAGGATTTGTTGGAAATGTGAAAAGGAAGAACTGATTTCATTTTGGGGCTGATCCGGAAGAAATCCTGGATTCTGGATCACTTTGAAATTTTAGTTAACATTGTGGTAAATGGGGCCAAAAAATTTTGTTTCTCAATATCTCGGTTAATTATTGACCAAACCCCATGAAATTTGACTCAGGGATGAACAATGGGATCCTCTTTCATATTCCAAATTGAAAGATACGAGACAAATATTTATGGAAAACACAATTAATATGAGGGGGACTGTCGTCCTTGGCGGAGTCTGCGCTCTCTGACTGCTTTTCTAGTTTTAATTTGAAGGAACATATTTTTTTCATGTTTCAGTTACTTGGCACATTTTTATCCCGTCTGTGACACAGAACAGATTCAGGTCAGTCGGGGCATCTGGACTGTTCCTCTTCCTGATCTGAGACTGAACCACACGACCCCCCCCGACTCCTGCCTTGACCTTCGACCCCAGGCTCATGAACAGTGTCGCTGGCCCGTGAGCCGTAATCTGAGTCAGATTAAACAAACTCATTCCCACAGCCCCGAGTCCCTGTCCCTGCGTCGCTGCGTCCCTGCATCCGCTGCGTCCCTGCGTCCCTGCGTCCTGCGTCGCTGCGTCGCTGCGTCCCTGCGTCCCTGCGTCCCTGCGTCCCTGCGTCCGCTGCGTCCCTGCGTCGCTGCGTCCCTGCATCCCTGCGTCCTGCGTCGCTGCGTCCCTGCGTCGCTGCATCCCTGCGTCGCTGCATCCCCGCGTCGCTGCGTCCCCGTGTCCCCGTGGACTCGGCGGACCTCGTTTCCACTGACACACTTCTGACCGAACACGGCTCCAACTAAACAACAATGAACAATGTCAACGCTAATACGGGCGAATTAAAGTCTCAACACTTTATCAGAACCTCGAAGACCGGACTTCCAATAACTCTTAACTCAGAAATTGAATTAAAACTGTTGTCCGCCTGTAACTGAGCCCTTTGGCAAGACACTTCACCCATATAGAGCCAGAAGTGTCCCGCTGTCACTGTTGGGCAAGTGACTTTAAAACT